AAAAAAAATATCTATCTTTTTTTTGCATGAGCTTTTTTCATTCCTCTCTTATATTCGTTATTTGGTCAATACAGTTCACGCCTACAACAATCGGTCTACTATACACCATAATTTACGCACCAGTTCGGAATCTCGTCGACCGATTTCAGCCGATTTCGAGGGTCTTTTGGACGACCTAAATCGTGTGGGTCGTCGCCAGCCGCCCGTTCTCACCTCCTCCACCGGTCGACAGAATGGATCTATCAGCAAAGGTCTGCATCAGCGTCAGCAACAGTTGTCCCGATGGTCGTCCGTCCAAGGCAACGACTACTGGCAAGACGCCGGCCTCGACGGCAGTGGTCGATTCACCACGACTCTGACACGACAGCACATCAAGCGCCATCCCGTTAGTTTGAGATGATATGTGATTTTGTCTATACGATTTCTTGTTTCCTTTACACCACTTTCAACGTGATGCAATCAGCTCAACGCGACCGATTCGAGGCTGATGCAAGATTGGCAAGGTCGAAACTGCAATCCATACCAGTTTGGATGGTATAGCTTTTTGGGAAGCGAGACTATGTTTAATTGCTACAGGTCAGACGTTAATTGCAAGACAGGCCTGGCCTCTGACATATCATATTTAAGGTGGGAATCATGATGAGGCAATGTTGTGTTTTACCATTAAAACGACTACACTACTTATATTCATACTTAGTAGTTTCGCGACTATTAAAAAAGATTGATACAGTTATTATGCAAGTTTTGCTGTTGGAGCGAATTCCATTTCGCATCAAAGTGCTTGATGAAGAACTTCGAAGGTCGAGCAGAACAAAAGATGACAGCCGATTCTCGTTGTACCGCAGTCATTCAGCTTTAGCACAATGTCCCTACTGACGCGTCCACCAAACATCCTCTTTCGTTTCCGGCGGAAACGGGTTGAGCTTTCGTCTATCCAACAACAGACATCATCAGAGCAGCAAGTCATTCTTGTAAAAGTCCCAAGTTATCACTGGGCCTGGTCATCAGATTGTGGGAACATTCAACCACCAGTCCCCAATCACCTCTGACGAAATTGTGCGAATACAGCTCTTCTATCTTTTCTAATGACTCCGACGTTAACACCAAAACCAAACCATTCGATATCCATCTACAGCTTAATACTTCTTGCTATAAGTGTCGATATCGCATGTGGGATAGAGCCGGACAGTCTTTTTGACCTGGTGTTAGTGTGAAACTTTTACATGATTGGCTCCCCAGCTTTGATGATGTCCATTATATGATGGAGGAAAGTTCAGCCATCTTCATCTAAAACGAGGGAGGATTTCCTGTCGAAATTAGACACCATCGTGGACTCCGTCATGCCAAATGTGGTATCCAAGCCAAACGGCTGCAGAACAACGCGATTCGGCAGTCGTCTTCCTGTGAGATCGACAAATGAATCTGTTCATCATGCACTTTCGTTTGAAATGACAGTCTGCCCGACTATGTTAGCGCAATATATTCATCGCATCTACTAGTTCCGTTAGTAGTCTCGACACTACTCACTAGTAGTATTAAATTCAATTGATCGAGGGCAGAGTTACTATAGGCTCGACACAAGCGCCAATCTTCAGGATTAACCGATTTCGAATGGCTTTGGGTGACTTTTATTCTTACTTTATTATATATATTAAAGAATAATTATGCCCCGAAATGCTCAGTTATGCCATCAATTAATTTCATCTTTAATTGCTATGAGACTAACTCAACATTTTGAAGAGAGGATGTTGCGGAAGTGTAAGAGGAACTATTTTTGCGCCCAAATGACGTCCAACGAATAGGACAGGATGAAGAACCCTTCTTGTGGAAACGTTCGCAAAAGGTGTGTTTATCTTTGTAGTCAAGGCCTCGCGTTGCTCCAAGCCTGTCCTGCCGAATGTGTTGCCCTTGGGGGTCAGGATATCCATTAGAGCCTATTCTGCATCAGGACATGCCCAAGCCTGGATTGCATTAGCCCTGTCTGTGGTCAGCCATTGAGAGGTTAATTGGGCCAATTGCGATGGAGCTGTCCGCCTCTTTCTCCTCCACAAATGCTACCGAAAATAGGTCAGAAAGTCAGTCCTTCTGCGACTGCTCGCCTCTTCGATGTGGCAGCGTATTTTGCACGGCGTAACCGCCCTTCAGAATCAAATTGTCCACTCTCAGATCTTCAAACCTAGGCAGAATGCAGTAAGTCGACACAGACAGACCTCTTTCGAGGGCTGTTTGCCATATTTTCACAATTGTTAAATTTCCTTTTACTATGAAACTAAGTGCGTGTATCT